AGTATCGGGTGCACTCATGATGAGCTGTGTACGGCGGTCTCTCGTGCGTGAAAGGATACCGTGTGTGCTCCCTGTCCTGAGACAACCCCTTACTTTGTCTTTTTGAGTGGAACAGGATTCTTTTCCTGGACCTTATGAAGCAATTGAATCTTTAAGTTAAGACCGATCTCCTCGGAGCACTACCCAGTGGAGTGGTTCTCTGTCTGTGCCCTTTCCACGGGTACTACTTTACCTATACCCTACTGACTATCGGCCATTTTAAGTTATTGAAGGAAAGGACGATGCCAAAGCGCTGGTGAAAGATGCTGTCGTTTTTTATATTTTCGGGAAAGCGCCCGCTAAATATATATATAATAACGGAAATTAGTCCTACTTGCATGTATTAATGAAATGCCCTCTTTTCACAATCATAAACTAAAGCATTTAGAAAACAACAAAGACTGACCGTCCAAACATCAAAAGAATAGCCTGGGGATTGGTCCCAAGTGATACAGTGAATATCGAACCATCTACAACTCGGAGAGCATTAATCCCAATAACCCTGAAATTGCGATCAACTACCTTTCCCACAAGGCATCCACCATGGTAGTGCCATATAGTACTCACTGTGCGATGGCAAAACTCCCCCATCAGCCGATCATTTGATTGATCAACAGGCAATGCAGGCCCCACGTATCTGAAATCTCGGCCCCAAAACATTCCCTGAATTTGAAATCCTCCATGGAACGGCTCCTCAGTACATCACCGATCTTGCGGGTGCCATTCACACACCGCTCCACATCACCCGGATTACTGAAGTAGTTAAAACGCACAATTGGGTTAATCCTGACATCTGTAAATGCCAACCGGAGTGAACCTGCAGAGAGGGGCCCCAGTAATCTTCTCCATCAGGGTGGCCACAGTGAGATAGAGTGGTGAAGCTGGGTTCCGAATGAAAACAGAGCGAGCAGGGGAGGCAAAAGGTATCACATTAGAGGCAGCTTCAAGATAAGCCCCTGAATTGGTTATGCCCACGACTTGTATCAGAGAGTGCTCCAATGGCATTGGTAGCACAATTGAGATGCCATTTCGGGTGTTTGTTTTCATAGAGGAACTGTCCGACATAAGGCAAGTGATGAGCCACAGGAATTCCCCACGATGAGAGGTACGGCCTCGGTCCAATGCCACTCAGAAGCAGAAGCTGTGGGCTTCCGGGAGCCCCAGCACAGAGCATCACCTCTCCCTTTTCACGCACCATTGCATGGCCCCGTTTGGTCATGAAAAACAACTCCAATTGCCGATTGCTTCGATCCAGAATAAGGCGAAGAAGAGGCTAAAATCATTCTTTCAACACTTTCATATGCATGCCACTCGAAAATTCGAAGCTTTGGCATAGCTGAGAAGATCAGCAGCACTGTGTCTACGACCAGAACTGTCAAATGTGGAACCACCGATCTTGGTACCCACTGAATGATCCAAAGTAAACCCATTGTAGGGATCAACACCGGCTTCCAATAGCCCGTCTCTGACTGCCGATTGCCAATTCTTGAGCTCCGGCCTAAAGACGATAGCCCTCTCAACCCACTCATAGGACTGGTTCACCACTCGGAGGTCCCAATTCACCCCTGACCTTCCGTAGAATTCTTGATCGGCTCGACTATAGAACCCGGCATTGAAAGCACTACTGCCGCCAAGAACCCGTCGGGCATTGGGGACGCCGTCTTCGGAGGTGAAGGCTTGCGCCGGAGAGTCGAAAGCGTCGACCTCCATGAGAGTGGTGAGGAAGCCTTCTTGGGTCATCAGATTAGGTTTTCCGTACGGAACACCGCCCCTTTCAAGCACCAGAACCCGAGAATACTCAGATAGCGTTGCTGCCAACGGTGCCGCCTCCGACGATGATGTAGTCGTAGTAGTCCTCTGATGGGAAATCTGTGACTGAGATACCGACATTGATGAATCGAACCTATAGCAATGCCGCTCTCCTTGCCCGCCCCATCCGCTCTTAGTCAGCTAACCAAGAATCACAGGAATTTGCCCTTGAATCCTGATTTCCCTTCTGAGATTGGTTTTCCCTGCCTTACTCTGGGCTGGATCGAGATCTTGGTCCATGGGCCCATTCTCAATTAGTCTTCTTGGACTCTTTTTCTTACCCTGCTAGCATAAAAACAAGAGCTTTTCGGGCAGCGAGTCACATGTTGGAATGTCAGGATGTGGAATTTCGTTATTGAGATTGGATTAGTGATTAGTCACACCTACCGTAACCTATATTGGTAAGGTTAAGCAGCTGACTTCGCCCCAAAGATGAGACTAGGAAAGTTGCATGCCCATTTGTCTCTTGTACATCCAAAGCTTCTTCAAAGCTCGTCCCAAACCATTTCTCGGAGGTTAACACCGACGGAGGACTGAACCTTTCTCTTTTTTGTGAAAAGCCTTGCGAATTTTCCGTCCAATCGGCATTCCTGTACGAGAGACTGCTTCTATAGATAAGGCGGAGCGTCCTTGGCTACGCTTTGATGATACAAGAGGGAAGTTCTGTCAAAGTCTGTCCCCATCCCAGTTCATACTCTTGCAGCTCTTCCTAAGCCTTGTTGTTGATCCTATTCCTATGAAGGGCGTAGTTTCTTCTCTTCTACTTAATCTCCTCTATGTGTAGCTGCCAGACCTTTCCGAGTCCAAAGAGTTTTGTTTAAAGGCTTTGAATGATCCGATCCTTCGGGAGGCGTCGGAAAAGGTGATGACATTTGGTGTAGCTGTAGACAGGGGAAAGACATCTCTTCGACGGTAACCTAGTTTACGCAAATAGGTTTTCTCCGCGATATTGTGCCAATTCCAGCTAGGCTTTTAAGACTGGTACTGGGCTCCTTCCAATTTTGGAAGATCTTTGTTGCAATCGGTCGCTAGTTGCTTGCCTTCGCCCGATTTACTGCTTCTATTCCCGGTATGCCCCCATTTCACTGCTTTCCCTATTTGCTTAATTCTTTCATAACCTCAATCTGCTGCTGAGAAGAATGCAAAAGATTTTACATTCCAGAATGCTTCCACTTCTAAATCTGTTGCAGAGAACACCCCAGA